AGTTCATAAGATTTGAACTAAATTAAAAAATAAATAAAAATAATAAAAAATAAATAAAATAAGATATAAATCTTGTGCATTGGTAAAAATTAATGTCTTACAATTAATAAAAAAAATTATATTTTTTAATTTAAGTATGAGAAACTTTCTTTTAGTTTACGGATCTAATTCGAGTATATCAATTTTGTATGTTGCATTGAACTTATTCGGCCACAATAAAAAATCGTTTTTATAATAAAAATCCGGTTTATAATAAAAAAGCGGTTTAAAACCGATTACCTGGTTTTACATTTTAAAAAAACCGAAAACCAGTTTTTTGAAATTTTTCGGTTTTCACTAATATAGTTATTCAATAAAAGTTTCGGAACCATGCCATTTCTCTGTATAAACTTGTTTCATAAATTTTTTTGATTACATTTTAATTATTTTACTTTGTTTTTTGAATTTTAAACCTAGTTTATAATAATTTCATTCTACGTATACTTTTGTCGTACATCAATTTAGATCGTTCTTCAACTTACGCCAACTTACAATAGGGATAGTTTAAATTTTTTGTCTAAGTATGAGGTAATGTCTGAACAATAAAGATTTGCACCACATTTTACCGGTATGATCATGGTTTCGAAAGTAAAATTTATACTAAATTTAAATAATATAGGTATTAAGCTAAATACGATTTACATTCAAGTAAAATATTCTTTTGGTTTTAGTATTAAAAAATATTCAAGATTTTTTTGATCTTAATTAAATGTTGACTAAGCTTTTTACAAATATTTTATGATCATGTTTTAAATCTTTTTCTGAATAAGATGATAATAAATTTTATAGCATAAATTTTTTGCAAAAATTTAATAGTTTATAAATATAAATATTTTTATTTTTATAAACTGTTAAATTTATGGACGTTTAGTAATCTTTTTTCTATTTATGAAGAAATAGGCTTAAAACTAGGGATGTATCGAAACTTCGGCTTCGTATTCGATATTTTTGCCAGCGCTATTGTACGCTGAGTTATATCGCTATTGTATGCTGAGTTATATGGCTATTGTATGGCTTCGGCAAATTATTTTTTCGTAATTAAAATTACTATTATTTCCATTAAATGTAATAATATTGTAAAAATAATGTCGTGCAATTTTGTTGCACAAAAATTTTTGTAGGTATTTATTTACACAACACTTGCTTTACAACATAAAATTCATTTTACAATTGATGTTAAGCTGCACAACTTAGTTCCCATTGTAAAACAAATTTGTAGTGCAAATGTTGTACGACAATCCAACAAATATTATAACTATTATAAATATTATAAAAATATATAAACATTAAGTTTAAGCAACTGCTAAATTATTTATTAAATTTAAATAAAGTTTTAAGCTCGATATTTCAAAGTGATTAAATACAATATAAAAGTTCAAAATGAATAAAAATATTTTACAGTTCAAAATGAAATTTTTTTTCTAGTTTGACATTAATAAATGGATTCTTGCCGGTCAAAGTTGACCTGAAAAAAAAACATAGTTATCGAAAGTAAGATTTTTTGAAATATAATGCGGTTATTAAATATAACGTATTATTAAATACTCTCTGATAATATGGAAATAGGGTTTTTTGAAATATAAAAATAATTTGTTTGAAAAAAAATTTTTTAGAATAACCAGGATGTATTTTGAAAGTACATATTCTAAAATTTTATTAATGACCAAACGCGGGCTAGGTAGGACCAAATGCGGCCTTGAGAGGTATATTGTTTGTTAACAGTTAGTACGATAGTTACAAACGCAAGATAGCAAACTTTAGCTCTATAAATATAAAAGTTTCGACTTTCTCAAACTTGCTTTGGCAGAATCTTTGGCTTCGGCAAAATCTTGGCTTCGGTATATCCCTATTTAAAACTCTCGGAAGTGAATTTTTCTATCACGTAAAACTCTGGGGTTTAATGAAGTACGCTGTTAACTTGGTAAATGGAGCTCATATTAATATCATAGCAATAATAATAATAATAATATTAATAGTAATAAGAACAATAATAACAACAACAACAACAACAAAAACAACAACAACAACAACAACAACAACAACAACAACAACAACAACAACAACAACAACAACAACAAAAACAACAACAACAACAACAACAACAACAACAACAACAACAACAACAACAACAACAACAACAACAACAACAACAATAATAATAATAATAATAATTATAATTATAGTAACAATAATAATAATAATTATAATGGAAGGAAAATTTCATAAATAAAGGTAATAACAGCAGCAACAAATATTTAGTAATTAATGACAGTAACAACAAAGATTTAGTACGAAGTAGAGAATAGTTAAATGAAAAAAGATATATAGATAATTAAAGAATGTCAAAATATTAGTACTAGTATTAATATTATTATGAAAAATTTAATAAAAGTATTAATAATAACAGATAGAAAACCAGAGGAATTAGATGTAGTTTGATAAATGTAGAATTTCAAAATGTTAAAAATATCAAATTAAAAACTAAAGGATCACGAATTGATATATATAATAAAGAATTTCAATTTTAGTTTGTAGAAATATTTAATTGTATTTTTTTTAAATAAATAATTACGCTTGGTTTTGTATTTGGTGATTGAATTAAGAGATTTTAGATCTGGAGGTAGTTTGTTCCATGGGCTAATACATTGATATTTAATAGATTTATTTCCATATTTAGCAGAGTGGTGTTTTGGAATAACTAAGTTTAAGCTACTGATGAAGCGAAGAGGAAAGTGACAATTTGTACTTGTCATAAGAAATTGTTGAATGATAAGGGAAGATTTTTGTGATGATAATTTCAGACAAATTGGCAGTTAAGGAATACCACAAGGTCGTTTAATTTTAATATATTGGAGATTAGGTTTAATACATTTGATTTAAAGTTATTTTACTGAAATTATTTTCAAGGCTTAATTTTAAAGATTAGACAACCTTAAAATGATTTTTTTATGGGATTGTCCCCATGCCCCCATACTTGACATGCATATCTTAGATGGGACCCAAAAATAGCACAATATATATTCAACAGAGTTTCTAGATTTACATAATGGTGGACTTTGGCTAGCATTTACATTAGATCTTCTGAGTTTCAAAGTCATTTAGATGGCCTTGAAATGAAAGATTAGAATTAATTTCAATCCAAAGATACTTAATAGAGTCTAAAGCATAAATTTTTTGTCCGCTTAGTCTGAAATTTAAGTGCTTATTAATTGATGCCAGATTGGATTTTAAGATGATCAGCTCTGTTTTGTTAAAATTAAGAGAAAGTTTATAAGAACGAAACCACTTGAAGAGATTTCCAAGATCATGATTAATATATTTGGTAATTTTTTTGAGTGATTTGTCAACCAGTAGCATGTTAGTATCATTAGCAAAATGGTAAGCAGTTGCAAATTTAAAAGAGGTATTTAAGTCATTAATAAAAAGAAGTAGAAGAAGTGGTCCTAAAACTGAACCTTGTGGGATGTTATTTGAGCATTTCTTTAAATCATATTTAGCGCCATTAATGGTAACAAATTATGTCGTGTTTTGGAGGTATGAAGTAAACCATTTTAATGGGATGCCTCTGATTTCATAGTATTCCACTTTTGTGAGGCAAATGTAGTGATTCACAGTATCAAAACATTTTTGCAAATCTATAAATACCCCACATGCAAAGTGCTTATTATCTAGAGTTCTTCTAATCTTCTCAGTATTTTTAATAAGTGCGAAAGTTGTGTAATGTTTGCTTCGAAATCCATATTGATGATGGCACATGCATTTGAATTTTTCTAGAAACTTGTATAGCCTGTTATGCATACCCTTCTCAAAAAGTATGCTTAGATTGGAAAGAATGGAAATGGGTTGATAGTTAGAAAAGTCTAGTAAAGAGCCTTTTTATAAATTGGAATGATTTTAGATTTATGATTTTAGACTTCCGGGAATTAGGACTTTTAAAAGAATTATTTATCATAATGCTAAGAGGTTTAGAGATTATGCGAGAGGTAAGTTTTAGAAAAAATGTAGGTATGCTGTGAGGTCCATAACTTTTATCACTTTTAAGAGTATTATTAATAAGATTAGATACCTAATCCTCACTCACAGGATCAATAAAGAAAGAATTAGCATTAGGCAAATTAAGAAAGTCACGTTTGTATAAGTACGTTTTGATGGCATGATTTCATTGAGTAGTTTTTGTGGCATGGTCTGCAATGATATTTTCATTCACATTTAGCTGAGTAGGTAGTTTATATAATGATGCTTTAATGTTTATGATATCTTTTATGCCCTTCCATATATTTTTCATATTGTTCATGTTGTTACTAAAATAAGTTATTTAGTATGGGTTTTTACTTCTTTTTAATAAGTTGCAAATTTTATTTCTATAGAATTTAAATTTTGTGAAAAGTTCATTTTTAGTATTAATGCTCTTTCGTCTTACAAATTTTTTGTAGAGTTTATTTTTTACAGAAATAGATTTAAGTAAGCCTTTAGAGATCCAGGGTTTAGATTTAAGTTTGATCTAATTTTTAGTCAAAGTTTAATAGGGGCACATTGGTCCAAAACCACATTAAATGTTTTTAAAAATTGATTAATTGATTCATTAATATTTTCATCTTTTTCAGTCATAATTTCCCAGTTGATTATAGAAATTTCTAGAATAAATTTGTTAGGGTCAAATTTTTTTAAACGTTGACTAGAAATTTTAACTTTATTTGATTGGCTGGATGTGACAGGAACACTAGCAAATTGCGCCATGTGATCCGAGATAGGACATTTAGATATCTAAACGATATCATGAAACACTTATATTTACTGTTAGGTTAAGTTCACATATGGGGATCTACAAAAAGATTTTTTTTGAAGTTATGTCAATATGTGACAAGTCTGATTTATCTTTTATATATATATATATATATATATATATATATATATATATATATATATATATATATATATATATATATTCACACTGAATTTAGAGTCCATAAAATGTTTGATAACTTGGTTATTGGAGAAAAATTGACTGAGCACTATACTGATTTTAATGGAGAAACTTTGGTCAAAAAGAAACCTGTTTTAAATTGGCCTTATATCCTTGGTAATAAAACTGCTGAGCTTATTAACCAAAATATTCGCAAAAATAATCAAGAAAGTAAACTTAAAATTTTAATAGCTTATGGAGGAGCTGGACGAGTTACATTAGAAATTTTAAGAAATTGCAGCAATCTAGAAATTGAATTTACCGATAAAACTGCAAACAACTTGCAACTTTTAGAAAGCCTTCTACGCGATTCATCAGTAAGCTGGTTTCAAAAACTAGAAGGAGAGATAACAGAGTCAAAATCTTACCACCTCGAACCTACTGAATGTGAAAAAAAACTTTTAGACGAAAAAAACAACACAATTTTGTTTTTTCAAGCTGACTACAAAAACATGAAGCCTACTTTAAAAGATTATGATTTAGTTGTTGCAGATTTCAGGTACAAAAATGCGCATGAGGAACTGCTTGAAATAACCAAAAGATTAAAAATAAACGGATTGTTGGTATTAGGTAGCATTGATGACGTAAATACTGAGTTATTTGATACCAATCACTCGTTAAGCGTTTTAAAAAACAATTTTGAATGTCTGGAAAATATTAGCGAGCATCCGCACATATACAAAGAAACTAGAAACAAACACAAATACGCCATATCTTACTTATCAATTTGGAAAAAAGTTTCTGATTTTGTAAAAAGTACTCATGTTCCTTCAGTTGACGACGAAGATATATTGACGACTGCACAATATTACGAAGATGAAAATATTTTAAGTTCATATGAGGTGTTTCATTACGGAGATGGTAAGAACTTTTTAAGTATTGTGTAAAATTTAGTTATTATATAGAGTTAAGAACTGAAACATTTATAAAATTTTGTTATTAATTCTATTTTAATAATATAAATTGCAAAAAATTGGGCTTTAACACAATAGTCAAGATGTTCAAATTTTGTTTTTCTTTTTACAGAAAAAGATTTTCGTTAATTTGAAGTTTTGAGTTGTATTTAAATATAAAAGTTTAAAATTTATTCAGAAAAATAATTTAAATAGTTTGAAAATATTTATTCAGAAAAATAATTTAAAATAGTTTGAAAATATTAGCAAAACGTCAATAATTAAAGAACGAAAGTATTTTAAAGTATTCATAACTATTTTTTTTTTTTAATTAAAATTTGTTTCATGCTGAAACATTTATTTCTTTATGTTTTACTCTCTCTTTAGTGATTATTTTAAAATAATGAAAACTTTTTTCTTTTTTTTTTTGCTAAAAACATTTTAGTGGCTGCACGACATTAATTTTTTTCAGATTGTAACACTTTGTCAATAAAGAAGTGAATAAAGAACAACTAAAAGTTGTCAATGTCTGTTTTATTTTGAACAGCACATGTTAACTTTACTCAATTTTTAATTATATTTGATTATTAGTTACTTGTTAAATTAATCATTTACTTAAGCACTTAATAAATCAATGACTGGTTTACTCGAAAAACCCAATTAACCGATACGTTGTTTATTTACTTAAGCACTTTATTATTAAAATAAAACAACTTTTAATAAAAATAATTTTAATAAAAACTTTTTTTGTTTATGGTTACAACCATTATTTTTTTAAAACACTTCTATTTAAAATAAAATAATCTGTTTTTTTTTAGGACTTTTGTCTGTTAAAAACTTCCCTCTGCATATTGCCGAAGTGTGCATAAAAGCTGCACTCAAATATAAAACTGGTTTAGATAGAGCTTTAGACGCAGGTTGTGGACCAGGGAGAACTGCAATTGAACTTAGTGGTACTTTTAAGCAGGTTAATATATTTATTGCTGTTATATTTAGGACTTGGAGATTTTTTTTTTACTTGTTTTATTGTTATTGTAGGTGGTGTAACTTAAGATATTAATTGAACGCCTTAAAAACGAAAAGGAACCATGCGTAATCAGGGTTTTGAGAAAATGTTCTTTTTTTCTGTTTACTACAGTATACTGGATAAAGCATTTTACATTTTTTCTTGATCTCTTCGTGCTTATTGACAACCCTATAGTTAAAGCAGGTTTTTGTTACTATATAAATTTGACAATTCTCTACAAGATAGCTCAATTTATTTAAAAATGGCGCTTGTTTCTTTTTCGTTTCCATCCAAATGCTTTTCAAGTTTTTGGTTGAAAGAAGTTTTATTATATTTAAAAACTTGCAAAATACCTTCAAAGTGTTAGGTCAAGTAGGGAGTCTTAAAATGAAAATAAAATCCTTTTATGGTTACATTTTAGGACAAGTGAACATTTATCCACTGATTTTAATAGTGGTTAGCGCAGCAGAGTATTCATATGTGCATTGACTTAATTAGGTATAGACGCAGTGAGTAGAGATGACGCAGTGAGTAAAAATAGACGCAGTGAGTGCACATAAAACAACAAAAGATTTTGGTTTTGACAGACAGGGTAATATTCTAAATGAATTGTTATAACATTTTTATCTTTTTTCATAAGTTAAAAACAGTTCAGATGTTAAATACCCGACACCTGAAAACTTCGGCGTGCTTTGCTCTATCCCAGTAAAAAAGCGCACATAAAATACGTGTGTTTTTCCTCCCCTGTAGCTCATGTGGGGATTATTATTTTGTCCCATACTGTTTTTATATGGTAAATCCCAGATGGGATCTAGGTGAAAAATACCACAAATTTTAATGATCTTTTTTAATATTAGGACCTTTATTATTTTTAATATATATCAATAATATGAATAAAGCTTCTCATAAAATATTTTCATTTATGTATGCAGACGATACAAATTTATTCTACAATAATTCTGATGTAAAAATATTGTTCGAAACAATGAACACTGAACTAGAAAGCTTTAATCAATGGTTTATAGCTAATAAGTTATCATTAAGTTGTGAAAAAACAAGTTATACTCTCTTCCATAAAATAAGACAATCAACTAATCTTCCAATAAAGTTGCCAAAATTATTTTTAATATATATCAATAATATGAATAAAGCTTCTCATAAAATATTGTCATTTATGTATGCAGACGATACAAATTTATTCTACAATAATTCACTTATAGCAGAAGATATTTTTGCTTCAAATGTTAAATTTTTTTTTTTTTAACTGATTTACGCGGTAGCGGTTTTTAACTGAATTACGCGGTAGTAGTGTAGTGGTAGAGCGCTCGTTTCTTAAGCAAGAGGTTCCGAATTCAATCTCTATCTTTTCCCTCGTAGTACCGCGCTCAACTTGTTTCTCCTCGCAGCAGCCTTGTTCATCAAGGCTCGTGTTTTGGAGTTATAGTGTTAAGAAAGAGTCATAATCAAAGTTTAGTAGCCTCCTCGTCTGAGTGGCCTTCTCAACCTGAGGTAAATTTACATTTAAAAAAAAAAATTAAAAAACAACAATTGTAATAAGTATTTTTTTTAATAATAGTGTTTATAGAAACAAACATAGGGTTTAGCAACTAAATAACAACGTTTTAAAAATGTCCAAAGTTTTATCATTTGTAAACTGACGTATTTAAAATCATATTTCAGTAATCTTATCAAAAACTCATGCAGATCCCACAAAAACCCATGTAAAATTTCCTATATAAGTAAATACCACATAACTCCAACATGTAACCGACATGGGATATCATATATGAGTTTGAAACACATGAATCCAATGCGTAACTATGGGTTACGCACATGAATTAGGTTTTTTTATAATTTTTCTAACATATAAATTTTAGGTTATGGCATATGATTATTCAAATGGGTTTGTTGAGTTAATGAACACAAAAAAAAAGGAAAGAAATATTTTGAATCTCGTAACTTTTCAAGGTGACTGTCATAACCAAAAAGAGATATGCGATGATAAAATGTTTGATCTAATTCTTGGTTGTAATCTCATTGATCGATTGCATTCCCCACAGGAATGGTTGATTCAATCTAAGGTAAATTTTGACCTACTATGTAAATCAAAAATCGTGAACTGCAAACTAGTATATATATATATATATATATATATATATATATATATATATATATATATATATATATATATATATATATATATATATATATATATTACTTGATATATATATATATATATACATTTATGATACCTTAACTTTAGTGATGCATATTCAGCATGATAATATAATGAAAGGTTTTTTAACTAATTTGCTACAAGCATTAAACATACCAATTTAAAAAAAATAATGTTATTCTATTTTTTACGTTTAGTCATAAATTATAAAATTTTATTTTACTCCTGTAGTTCAAACTTATAAGCAAATTCACTTTTAACAAAATGAGTCTTATTGCAACTTTTTTGCTGAATTTAGTACACCTAACAGTTTATAACGATCCTGTTGTAACAATGTTTTATCTTCCACATCTTCAAATAAACAGTTTATGCATTCTTCTATAACAATTAAAAAGTTCAGTTCGTGGCTCATTATTTATATGTAACCATACATTTTTTTCTCTTCAGTTTATCTTACTTTAATATTTTCTGTGGTTTTTTTTACTTTTAGGGAATGTTGAAAAAAAATGGAATTTTGGTTATTTCTTCTCCATACACATGGTTAAAAGAACACACAGCAGTTAATAAATGGATCGGAGGAATTAAAAAAAATGGAGAGAACTATTTTACACTTGATGGATTAAAAGAAATTCTATCACCAGAATTAGCACTTTACGAAACTATTAGCATACCATTTGTTATTCCCGATGCAGACGGAACTTATCAATATACGTACAGTAACTGCACAATATTTGGTGCCGTAAAATAAACCGTTAACAATTTTATATCAGTTATATCAAATTTAAAATTTGTTACAATAAAAATTTTATACTTTCATTAGAAAAAATTTTTTTAATTCTGTCTTAAAAATGCTGGTTATTGTTTCTTTTTACACCTACTTAAAATACTCGGCCTCTTGTTATTTGCTTTGAGTACTCACCGTTGCACCATTTTCCGCAAGTAATTGCGCTCTCACCATTAGCTGTAATTATTTGCTTGTAAAACCAGTTTTAAGTACTCACTTTTCTATCACTTATTGCGATTTTTTACATACCAGTTCAGATGTTGTGCGCGATAGCTAGTGTAGTTGACAGAATCGTTCTGAAAAATCAACTGATTGATTGATTTTTTATTGTTGTTGCGATCACAGGTGTGCATGATAAAATAGAAAGCTACTTTTTTATACTTAGTGCTGAGTTTAGGAAGAGAAGCTAGGGGGCTATAGCTCCGGGTCCCACAGTTTTAAAGGCAATATTCAAATTTAAAAATTCCTTTAAAAAACAATCTAAAGAGAAAATCTTAGACTAGTGACTTGAAAAGCGGTCTCCTGCTTTAAAATAGCCCCGGGCCGAGAAAACTCCTAATCCTCAACTGTTATCAACTATTAACGTTTAATTTCTTTTTATTAAAATGAGCAAGAAATATTCTAGTTGGATGTGTTTATCATCTACTAAATGGTAATATTAAATCATTTGAACAATTTATTGAAAAAACAATTTTCTCAATAATAACTACCTAGCAATAAAATTTGAAGTTGACATAGTTAAGATAGATGTTACTGATCACTTTCAAATACTTATAAATGTAAATTATTAAAAAAGTCCACCAAATGTTTGTCAAACTGAAAGTTAATCTAAAAACTAGTAATACTAGTAAACTATCACGTAAGTTAAACAATAAACGTAGAAAAACGTATATACATGTTGAGATACTAATGAAACTTTTAATATCTTTTTAAGTAAATTATTAGAGTACTATAATATAGAAACTTGCTCGCACAAGGATATAAAAAATTACTTACGCATTTGGATTTTAGAAAAGCTATTCGACTGAGCAAGCAAATATTGAAATAGCCAACTAAATAACTGATGGTTTTGCTTAAAAAAATATACTTTAGGAGTATTTATTGCTTTATATATAGCATTCAACACAGTTGACAGTTGACCAATACATTCTCTTAAATAAAATATAGTATTACGGTATAACTAATACAACCTATAACTGGATTAAAAGTTCGCATTCATAGAAAGCAATATGAGTGTATGGTACAATCCGGATAGTTAAACGTTGTAAGCAGATTTTTCTGAAATCACGATCCTTGGTACAGTCCTATTCTTAATTTATGTTAATGATTTAATGCATTTAATCATGTAATACATCATTAAAACAGAATTAAATACCATTTAAATGGAAATTGGCAAACAAAGCACCAATAATCAAAAAATGAAACATTGTGACCAACTCATTAACCTTTATAGCCTTTAAAGTACTCAAAAGTATTATATTCGACACAATATATGAAAGTTAACAAAAATTTATTAAATAAACATCAACTTTTGTAAGGGGGAAGTCTTACCACACGAATAATGATCAATCAAATTGAACTCGTATGGAATATCCAGTGTCATGTACAATTGGATTAGTGTATTTCATGTGAATATTGACAATGAGATATATAGTTACAGAAACCAGAAAGGTTTTTTATATATCCACAAATTGACAGATGACAACTAATAAATCAGTGAAAAATTTTTCCTATCAAGAATGACTCAGCCCCATATAGTTAGTAACATATTGATTTTGCTGTGTACCTATTTCAGTAATGAAAATTTATGCTGCAAAAAAATGCATTCAAAAATGTGAAAAAAGTAAATTTGAAAAAAAAATTTTCCACAAAAAAAAGCACTCTACAAAATATGGGGATCGAACTCATTTTGTTTTTTCTTAAGTTAAGCATAAATGTACAGTTATTCTCATATAATAGCAGCAGGGATGCGGAATCCCAAAAAGAACTCCGGATTTGAAAATCACAAAAAAATTACTTCATTCTAGTTTTTGGTATCCAGGACCTTTTAAAATAAAAAAAGTATATGGGCTTCTATTGGGGAGAAAATCAAGACTTATAGGTCAGAAGAACAATCAATTTTTGAACCAGGAGTCCTAGGTACAATTGCAGCAAGGACTCAAGAACATCAGGACTTCAGGCTTAAAAATAATAAGTTTCAAGACATTATCACAATTTTTTTCTTAAAGCAGATCATTAATCAACCAATATGTTTAGTGCTTCTAGACACCAGAGAAACATAAAAAAAAAAATTTATAAAGCCGGAAGTCCTTTTGGCACTCCTGATTCCTGAATAACAGGCCTTGTTTTACTTAGACAAACATAAGTTTTATAGTATTATTTTATAAACAAATGTTTGTCAAGTAAAGTACAAACTGCTATCATAGTTTTGTAATATTGCTGTTGTGATGTTTTTATTAGTAAACATATTATTTTTAAATATAGATTTTGCATGATATCAATTTAAAAATCTAAGCAACACTTTTTCCAGAAAAAATACTACTGATTGATGTTGTCTAAAGCTTGATGCCTAGCAATAATTGTCAGTTGTATATATTTCTTATTAATCAGCCTTATTTTATTTAAACTTCTAAACTTTGGCACCAATTATGGTTGGTGCCAAAATTTAAATGTTTTCAGCACCGCCTAAGAGTTGTGTTTTTTATTGGTTCAGTTATTCGTAATGTGTTACCTGCAAGTTACCTTTATTTATTAAAAAATTCTAAAGAATTGTAAAGTTTTTCTGCAAATGTTTTGTTTGTATTATTTGAATTTATTTTAGATCAAATTTTGTAACTCTCACTATAGTTTAGCATTTAGTAAAACGATTTATTCCAACATCCAAAATTTAAAGCACATGAACCACACTAAGTTTCCTTCCTATTCATGTGTACGATTTTTTATCCAGAACGATTGAAGACATTTGACAGAAAAATACACCATCAATTAGCAAACTGCTTTTCCCTGCACATTTTTATTCCTGGATTACATATAAAATAGAATAAAATGTTGCATTAACATACGATTCGATTGAAGTAAGAACCCATAAAATATCAACTAACAAAAACTTTCATACTAAACTATACTTTTATACTAAATGCTAAACTATAGTGGCAGTTCAAGATTTGATCTAAAATAAATTCAAATAATACAAATAAAACATTTACAAACAAATTTTACAATTCGTTAGAAATTTTCAATAAATAAAGGTAACTTGCAGGTAACACATTACGAATAACTGAACCAATAAAAACTACAACTCATAGACGGTGCTTAAAACTTCTGAATTTTGGCACCAACCATCAACTGTATAATTTAAATAAAATAAGGCTGAATTTTTACTTACCGCTGCTAATTGTATAATTAGCAGTGGTAAGTAAAAAATTTTAATAACCTTTTGAAAATCGCATTTTCTAAATCTGTTACTTATCTAAAAATGTGTATTATGCTCAATAGATATATATTTTTTTAAACTTTTTAAAGTTTTAAAAATATTAGCATATTTCCTTATGGAGTTACATTGCCAGTGCTATAGCCCTAGCCCCACAGTTTACAGGCTTCTGTTCATAAAAAAATATGTTTTTTAAAGAAACTCTGAAAATAAACTATTTGATTTATCATAGTTAAGAGGCCTTTTGCACAACATCTGAACTGGTATGTAAAACAGCCCTGGGCCCCAAAAAGTCTTGATCCACTACTACACATTGCCTTGATATATTATATTTTATATGTAATCCAGGAATAAAAATGTGCAGGGAAAAGCAGATTGTTAATTGTTGGTGTATTTTTCTGTCATATGCCTTCAATCAATTATTCTGTCTTATGCCTTCAATCAATTCTTTTTAATTTATATTAATGACTTAAACAAATCTTGTAATTTACAGGCGCTATTTTATTTGCTGATGATACAAGTTTGTTTCATGCTCACCATGATATAAAAATGTTGTTTAACTCAGTTAACATGGAACCTTTAAAACTTACTGAATGGATAATGCAAATAAATTATTAATTAATTTAACTGAAACAAAGTATACGTTTTTCCATCGTTTTCATGAACGCGATAAAATCCCCTTAAAACTTCCAATACTATGTATTAGAAGTCAAGCTATAAAAAGAGAACACTCGTTAAAATTTCTAGGCATACTCGTTGACAAAAACGTAACTTGGAAAGATCATATAAATTATCTTGAAGGTAAAATCTCAAGAAATATACGATTACTTTATAAGGCAAGACCTTTATTAAATCAAACTTGTTAAAAACTGTTATATTTCTCCTTTATTCATTGTTATCTGAATTACGCAAACATAGCTTGGTGTAGCACAAATCAAAACAAAATTAAAAAATCTTTAATAAGCAAAAATATGTTATCAGAATATCTAATTTAAACTAGGGTTGTTCGCCGAAAAACAAAACTTGCGAAAATTTCGCATCTTTATCTACCGTGATAGAATCGTTATTGCGGAAGTTGCACATGCAAAAATGCACATTCCGTAACGCGCTATACGAAAATATAAATAGTGAATAAAATTCCGTAATAAAGCATTGCGAAAGAAAACTTGCGAAACAAATCATTTCGTAAGAATACTTACGAAATAGTTCCTTACGGAAAAAGCATTCCGGAATGTGTAGTTACGAAAAAGACGCAAAAGATTTTATGTTACGATATACTTAAGATATTAACTGTTAACAGTTTAAATAATAAATAATAAAATTATAAAAAAATGTTGTCAAATGATTCTTCAAATGTTTATACAAATATACCTAATATATATATATATATATATATATATATATATATATATATATATATATATATATATATATATATATATATATATATATATATATATATATATATATATATATATATATATATACATTAACGGGATTTTACTGTATATATATGTATATATATATATATGTATATATATATATATATATATATATATATATATATATATATATATATATATATATATATATATATATATATATATAAATATATACATATATATACAGTAAAAT